AAATAGTCCAGTATTTAATTGACTAGGGACCTAGGGGAGGAAATCATCCAAGCTGCCTCCATCTCAAGGCAATGATGTCTTTCATTTTCTGATCTCAGGGATTGAGTGACCTCATTGAACTGACCAGGTCAGCTTGGGAAAACAAAAGCTGAATCATGAGAGTCTCTTCGTTTCTATCAAACTTTCACTTCCTTCCACTCTTATCACTTCACTTTATTCCTCGGAGACCCTCATTCCAGGAAGATGAGGAAAGAACTGACATTCCCCTTCCCTGATGGGGACGCAAGAGCACAGAAGTCCAGGGGGCTCAAGGCACTCGTCCAAGGCAGCTGATAGGTGCAGCTGAGGGTCTCACCCATTCCTCCAGTCCTTGACTGCCTGAAAAATAGGAACCTGGGTCCAGGGTCAGTTCTGAGCAGGAAAGGCTGCACAAGCAGTCTGGTCCTTGACCTCCACCTCCTAAGATATAAAAGGAGTTGCTTAGCTGATTATCTGATTGTCTTCACGGTGATAAAGAAACAGGATCAAACAGAGTGAGTAAAATTAGACACCCAGAAAAACTTCTGGTTGCTAAGATTTTTCAGGGGAAGGGATACTGGGGATTGAATTCAGGGGCACTTGATCACTGAGCCACATTCCCAGCCCTTTTTTGTATTTGATTTAGAGACAGGGTCTCACTAAACTGCTTAGCACCTTGCTGATCCTGAGGCTGGCTTTGAACTGCTGATCCTCCTGCCTCAGCCTCTCGAGCCACTGGGATTACAGGTACACACCACCGTGCTTGGCTTGCTAAAATAATCCTTAAAACTGCAATAAACTAGCAAGATTCTCAGTGAGTTTAACACTTCTGCAAAGAATTTCCTCCAGAGTTGCAAATGTCTTTTGAGTCTTAAAGCTAAAATCTCACTTCTTCATTCTCAACTCCAGGCAGGCTCCGTAGCCTCTCTCTAAATTCCCAGCCTCCCTCCAATTTGAGCCCTATGCTTTATTTATATGCATTTCTTTTTTATTTCATGTGGACATTTTGTTCTCCTTGCTGCAGAAGGTGGTTTCCCCCAAACTGCTGCAAATGTTCCTTCTCTGTATATTTTATTCATACTGTTGGCCCATCCCTTCCTGAAAGAGCTGAAATTTGCCCTTGAGGCATCAGATGGAGTAGTCAGATTGTCAAATGTGTCTCCTAATTGAAGTGAACATCGGCACAATATTTGTCGACTGGAAATAAACAGCCCCAGTGAAGTAGCAGGTTTATCACCTTCATGCGCTTATTCAGGTCTTGCTGAGAGTTGAAGGAAACATGCAGAGAGAGAAGCGGTTTCTCTAGGAAATGAAAACTTTGGTGGAGCCGGGAGAGTGATCTTACTTAGACTTGGACTCTCTGGGAGTCAAGAATCGCCAGCCTGGGGCAATCGGCAGGGCAGCACACCTTCATCTCCCTTTTGTCTCCCTCTCTTTCTCCTCTTCCAACATTCAAAAACTCACGATCAACCTGCTTTTTGTGCCCCAGCAAACCCTCTTTTTGACAAGTCTCTGATGTCAGAGTCTGAAGAGCAAAAAAACAAAGTTGGAGATTAAGTTTTTTAAAAAGGCCTGGCTGGGCGCAGTGGTGCAAGTCTATAATTCCAGGGGCTCAGGAGGCTGAGGCAGGAGGATGGCAAGTTCAAAGCCAGCCTCAGCAAAGGTGAGGCTCTAAGCAACTCAGTGAGATCCTGTCTCTGAATAAAGTACAAAATAGGGCTGGCTCAGTGGTGGAGTGACCCTGAATTCAATACTCTGTATCAAAAATATTAATTAAATTAAATTTTAAAAATTTTCTAAAAGGCCAGAATGATCTTTATTTGATTCCAATAGCTCAGGAGCCCCCAAGGAAGTCAAAATCGATCACTACAGAACCATTCAAGCTTGACTTGGCTTCCAGTGCTCTCTCTGCACGATTCCTCTGACAGCTGTACAGTGGACACTCTTGGGGGATAGTGGTGGGGAGAGTTAATGCAAAGCTTTGAAAAGTGCAGCCTCTGGGTGCACATTAGAGTATTGGTTCCTCTCAAGGTCATACACCAGAGCAATTGAGTGCAACAGACTCAAGTCAAGCCCAAGCTAACAACCGTGCCTCTCTCATAAGGCTGTGGAAAATCAAAGGTGGGATGAGTGTCTTCCCCTTGACTTGGCAAAGTCAGGTTGGTGTCCTCCCAATACGTCCTTGTTGTCCTTGAGAGATCAATCAGAAGTAGGTCCTTTCCTTCCATGAAGGGTTACTGTGTGTATGTAGGAAAGTCTCTTCTCACTCTTGCTTACTCCTGCTCCTACCCAACCCTGACTTTATCAGAAGTGGCAACTCAAGTCAGCTACCCTAAGAAATCTGAAACCATTCTCTGTCACTAACTTTAGGGAGACTATGAAAAAAATCAGTGTTATTTGTCGTTTTTATTCTTTGTTGTAAATTATTTGTTCTTAAGGGTTTTACTTGGTGGAAGTGAATACACAGTATTATTTCTCTATTTTAAGCTTGATGACTCTTTGTGGGTCAATAATGGCTCTGTTCCTTCAAGGAATTCCAGACTTCATTGGAAATATTAGGAGAAGATTATAGGAAGTATTTTGGAGGCAATGATATTTTTAAATGCACCCTAAAATGTTAGCAAGTGGTCAGTCAACAATCTAGCATATTTAAGTATTAGGCTAGCTCTGCAGCTAATGGAACTAAACTTCCGAAATCTTTCTGGGGGATGAAAATGAGCTTGCAGAAGGCCAGAACCTAACAAAGACTTTTATAACCTTTTTTTTTCTTTTCTCCACTGCATCCCCCAGGTCTTGAAAATGTGCAGTTTGTAAGATCTCAGTCTCAGAAGAAGGCAAAACAAAGAAAATGGTGATGAAAAGTGTCAGGGATAAAAAAAAAATCTCAGTTATTCTTGTTTCAGAGGGTGAAATTAGTCAGTGACTCTGTTGACCTGCTTCTAAGCAAGAACACAGGCTGGGTTTTGCTATATGGCCTATGAGGAAGTCCCCATCCCCATGTGACCTTCCTTGGGGATTGAAAATGATAAAGACTTGCAGGGTTTTCCAGCATGGACTCTGACAGAAAGGCTGAAACTGTACAACTACCTGGTGAAGTAAGTTCCCACAGAGGAAAGCCTTTTAGTATTTCTCCTGTTCTCCTCATGGACCTCCTAGCCAGCAGAGCCAATTGCTAATTTCTCATTCTTGTTTTCCATGATGTCTTCTCTGAAGTGGTTGATATTACTGGCAGTTCCCTCAGACCTGAGAAGGATTTTCATTGCAGTGACTCCAGTGCCAATTGTACATCTGGACCACCTCCCCAGCTAGTCCTGTTCCCTTCTCTCATTCATCTTCCTTCTCTCGCGGTGACTCATTCTCTCAGGCTCTGTCTGTGGGTCTTCCTTCTTCCTTCTCTTACCTCCTCTCGTGAGTTTTTCCTGTCATCTCTGAAGGCAAGACTATCTGTCTGTTATTTTCAGCTCTCACACCACATTTCTTCCTCTTTTTTTAAATTTAAAAACAAATTTTTTTTT